AACTAGGCATCCTTCAGTGTTGATAGACTCTACTTATCAAGGAGCATAGGTGGTTGTGAGATGTTGCAAGTACATCAGACAGTTGAAGAAGAAAAAAATGAAAAAAATAGAAGAATATCTGAAGGACAGTGAAAAAGATGCATTGAACGTTAGTTCGCCATGAAGGCTTACTGAATACCAAAGAGACCAATGTGGTCTATAAGAAAGATCAAAATGAAGAACAAAAATGAGATGTGGCAAGGAAAAGTATTACCTGGCTAGTACATAAAAAACTAGCAGATAACAACAAGACCTAGGAATGGCTAAGAGCAGGAAAGTTGAAGAAAGAGACCGAGGGGCTAAACCTGGCTGCATAAGACAAAGTCTTAAAAACAAATGCATATAAAGCCAGAATTGAGAAAGAAGCAAGAGACGGCAAATGCCGCCTCTGCAAAGAAGCTGGAGAAACGGTGGATCATCTAGTTAGCAAGAAGATTGTACAGATAACGGATGACAAAGTAGCAATAATGTACACCGAAAATATCTGCAAGAAATTCCATTTGCCTGCCAGCAAGAACTGGGGGACCCCAAAATAGACAAAGTAATAAAAAATAAAGAAGCTAAAATACTCTGGGACTTTAGAATTCAAACATATAAGCATCTGCTACACAACAGTCCAGACTTAACAACTGTAGATAAGAAAGACAAAAATATCTGTATAGTGGACATTGCAATAATTGGAAATAGCAGAATAGAAGACAAAGGACTGGTGAAAATTAAAAAAATTAAAAATCTGCAAATAGAAGCACAATGACTGTGGGAACAGAAAGCAAAGGTAGTATCAATAATAACAGGACAATATCATCATCAGTCAGTTGCACAAGGCAACTTCACTTGAAACAGCTTTCATGATGTGATTATACCTTTAATATTATTAAGCAACAGCATCTGCCTAGCCTAGATCTTTGAGAAGGTTTCAATAGGTGGACAAAAATGCCAAATCTAGTCTAAACATCTGTTTGTGCAACCAGCCATAATAATAATAATATAACTTTGCTTTTTTACATCAGGTAATAAAATGTTTTGGTCTGGCTTTCTTCATAAGATCTTTTTTCCACTAACCATAGCAAAATCGTGTACTTATTGTCCATATTTATTGTCCCCTTTGTTCCTATGATTCTACCTACAATTTATGCTCATCCAGTGAATGAGACAATATTAAGTGGACTTTGGCTGCAAAATTCATTTCTACCAGCACCATCCAGTGCACTCTAACATCAATATA